TCATAACTGTGCCTGATCTACAACAGGGAACTGCTGCTTTTTCTTTCTTAATCCTTACTATTGTCATTTTCCTCAACTTCTTTTGTATGTTTGTCACTCTCTTGTGACTTGCTATTTCCGGGATAGTCGAAGCAGACGTTGTGCTGTTGAAGCTAGACAGGTGAGCAGAATAAGTATGATTCCCTGTGAAGACTTCTCTGTTGACACCTACCCCTTGTCGCTCATATGACCTTATGCAGTTGCGAGCGCCGTAAAACCCTCTACTATAAAAAAAATATCCATTCCACCATTGTTAAAACACTCCAATACAAACGTACGCACACTTTTCCATTTCTTTGATTTCACAGAATGTTGCTGAGCATGATTTCTAAAGGTCAATTTTGAGTGACCATATCTCGGGCGACTCTTTTCGTAGATGAAGCAAGAATGTATCACGTAGTGCTGAATTTATTTAGCTTTAAATTGTAATGATACGATAGTGAGTAGAGCGAGGTTTTAACCCGATGGTTGGGTGAATTCATACGTTTTCAAGTGTCTTTTGAGACGTCACTGTACAAGCATGTCAGAGAAACCCAGAAAGGCAAGGGGTGACTGTTTAGTTATAATGATCAACATGGGTAGAAAGTAGAAAGGCGGCGTCGCTTATTTTATCACTTCAAGCGCGCCGTTTAACGCTTGTTATCATTCAACTTTTGCAAGTCATTACCTCAGAATTACAACAAAGTTCTATCTGACACTTTCGGCCGTTTTGAGTTACTAAGCCCATGAGGTCAGAAACCAAAAGTTCCACCTGCTCTATCAAAACTGTAAAATTATTCGGAGTCCTTATCAAGATATTCAAAGAATTCCGTTCGAAAAGAGCTTGATATGTTATGAAACTCAAAAATCTGTACGTCAAATTTCTCAAAACTAGGTAGCCTACCGAGCAGCTTTGTAGCTCTTGGGCAGCGAGGAGTCTGCAAAATCAGACAAAGTGATTTTTTTCACTTTAGTCCGGAATAATGTTTGTTAAGCTTCATAATTAATAGTAGGCCTACTAAGAAGACGAAGGATTATTCTTTTCTTTTTTTTCTTTCTTCTTCTCATGGGTAGCCATCCTCATCACCTGATAGTACAGTTACAAGAAACAACAACTGTTTTTTACCAGCGTTACTTCAACAATTTCGTCATGACTAACGAGACCTCTGATTACGCTGTGACCCACACAGGATCGTGGTCCCCGGCAGGTTGGTCTGGGTTCACTGTATACCCTTTTCTGTTGTATACCCTTTCCCGTATATCTTTTTCTGCAGTATACCCTTTCTCGTATGCCATTTTTCTGCTCTACGTTCTTTTCTGTATACTCTTGCTAGTATACCTTTTTCTGCTGTATACTCCTTCCTGTATACCCTTGTCTGTATACCCTTGTCGGTATACCCTTGTCTCTATACCCTTGTCGGTATACCCTTGTCTGTATACCCTTGTCTTTGTCTCTGTACCTTTTTCTGCTGTAAACCCTTTCCTGTATACCCTTGTCTGCTGTATACTCTTTCCTGTAAACCTTTTTCTGCTGTATGCTCTTTCCTGTATGCTCTTTTCTGTATTCCCTTTCCTATTTCGATGTATGGATTTAATGATTGATTTGTTGTGCTAGTCTGTTTGGTTATTGTATTGAACAAGATCAGTTAAGATAAGACAAGATGAGGTGAAATGAGATGAGATGAGACTAAACTTAGAGGTGTTACTAGAGAGTACCACGCACAGAGAAAAATAGTACAGATAGGGGATGACAGTACTATATGTAGTTTAATGCATCAGAATACCATTGAGTTACAATCGGAATACAGAGTATGTATCTAATTTAACACTATTATCGTTTATCACTACTGTTCATTTATATACAGCAGATGGCTGTGAGCCTGTTTGTGAGTGCCAGTCAAGCATACTATTGTATTATTATGGTTATTTGCACAGATGTGTGTGGAAGAGGGATGTGTGACAAAAGTGTGTGTGTGTGTGTGTGTGTGTGTGTGTGTGTGTGTGTGT